TTATTGATGTCTAAAATTAGTTAACACTATAGCAATTCCAACCAAACAAGTCCACTCTATTCCACTCAATAGGTTTGGTAAGAGGGGACAAGATGTATGTGGACCTTAGGGCTATCCCAAGGAGTAAACAGGTTGTTTCCAAAGGTACCCCCGACAACAATTGAAAAATATATGGAGCATGCTCCATAGAGAGCATGTTGATGATAGTGAAAATCAAGATGAAATTACTTCATGAGGTGAAATTGCCTGTGTATTTATCAACAAACAATGACATATAGTGTGATGAGTAGAACACCGAAGGAAAAAAAAACCATACAAGGACTCGACAACAAGAGAGGTGTTAATGTTTTCTTTATTGTGAGAGAATTTAGTGGTTAGAAATGTGAATGTTTTTTATTATTATAAGAAACATGGTCATAAAATAGAAGGGTATTAGAAGGATTTTTCTGACTTCTTCTCTGTTCTTTGTCACAGCTGGTCCCAGCTTTTGGAAGGCCTTCCTCTTCCAAACGTAAGCTTTTCCTTTTCTTTAATCTGGTTGAATCCACCCCCCCCCCACCCCTGCTTTCTGTTATTAAAGTACCTTAAATAAAGGTTCAGAAAACGAAACCAGTTTAATTATATATTCAGTTGAAAATACTATTACAATAATTCACCACTCACAATTTCTCTACTTTCTCTAAGTGCAGATAAAATGGATATGCCCAACAGCCCCTATTCGTCCAGTAGCTATACTTGGTGGATTTCCCTGCACTGCTTGTAAGGATGAATAAAAATAATCATTTAAAATATTTTATGGCTGTCATTTGAGTTATTTTTTAATAACCCATCTCAGGGTTTGATGTTGGAGAACTCTCAGATGATGGCCCAGAAGATTTTGAGGGGCTGGATGCATCAGCTGCACACATAGCAAACTTATTGTCAGCTGAGCCAGCAGATGGTGTGTTTTCCTCTTTTCACATTGTCATAGACAGATCCAAACAAGTCTTTAATCTTCTCAATGCTTCCCATTTTATCTTTTGCTATTGTTAACTTGCTGTTGCCCAAACGAGTCTTTAATTTTTTCTATGCTTCTCAGTTTGATCTTTGCTATTGTTAACTGGTACTGTGTTTATTTCTGGAATGACAGTTAAACTCGGTATTGGAGGCTTCAGCATGGGTGCTGCTGCCTCCCTCTACTCAGCCACTTGCTTTGCCCTCGGAAAATATGGAAATGGAAATCCTTATTGTGTCAACTTGAAGATCGTTGTTGGCCTAAGCGGGTGGCTTCCTGGCTCAAGGTTTGATTCCTAGCCATTTCTTCAAAAC